CCTGAAGAAAGAGAAAAGACTCAGAGCTGGGAACTGGCATTTTAAACACTAAAAGCACTATTAACAGTACTGCACTATTATGCACTAACAAATTCTAGAGAGCTGATGGAGTAGCTCCTAGATTGGACCTCCAACACGAAAAAAACAATTCTACATATTCAATTTACAAAGTGAAACAAAATAGTCACTGGAAGTGGTGACACAGGCCTTTAATCCCAGCATTTGGGAGGCAGAGGGATCTCTGTGAGCTGGAGGCCAGCCTAGTCTACATAGGGAGTTTCAGGCCAGCTGGAGCTATAGAGCTGATGGAGTAGCTCCTAGATTGGACCTCCAACACGAAAAAAACAATTCTACATATTCAATTTACAAAGTGAAACAAAATAGTCACTGGAAGTGGTGACACAGGCCTTTAATCCCAGCATTTGGGAGGCAGAGGGATCTCTGTGAGCTGGAGGCCAGCCTAGTCTACATAGGGAGTTTCAGGCCAGCTGGAGCTATAGGGAAACCCCATATCAATGTTAGGGTTCCAAACAGCAGCAGTTTCCCCCCTCCCCAACAGGGATCTCACCTTGACCTTTGGAGTCAAGGGAAACCTAAAATGCTTTCCATAAAGAAAGCACACTCTACAAGCAAAAGAAAGAAATGAGGTTTATTTTCAATGCCGTTAAGGTCAGGAGCAAAATACTCAGGTTCCAGTGTGTGATGTCAGAGTCAAAGGTGAGGCACTTATACAATAAAGAGGCTCTCTAAAACATTTATCTTTGGGTGGGCTGGTGGCAAACACCTTTAATCCCAGCGCTCGGGAAGCAGAGGCAGGTGGATATCTGTGAGTTCAAGCCCAGCCTGGTCTACATAGTGAGTTCCAGGACCGCTGGGGCTACAGGGAGACCCTGTCTCAAAAAGATAAAAAAAAAAATAATCTCTGGATCAAAGATGCCAACCGTTTCCGCTAATAATCCGTTTGCATTCTTCTACTTTGTGAGGACAAATAACTATAGAATAACTTTGGCGCATAAACCAAATACTCAAAATTACTATCTATTTTTTATTTTTTGGTCTTTTTCAGACGTCTCCCTTTAGCCACAGCTGGCCTGAATTCGCTTATGGAGACCAGGCTGGCCTTGAACTCACTGAGATCCGCCTGCCTCTGCCTCCCAAGTGCTAGGATTAAAGGCGTGTTTTACCATGCCCGGCATCAAAATTACTCTCTTGAACATGAGGATGCAACTTAGGTTTTCCAAACTGGTATTCATGTCCACTAATACATCAAAACCTAGCAACAGCACGGCTGTTAAGTTCAGCAGAGTTTTTGTTATGTTTCTTTTGGGGGGCTCTTTGAGACAAAGGTCTCTCTGAAGCCCCAGCTAGCTTCGCACTCCCTATGTAGACCAGACTGATCTGGATCTCAGAGTTCCGCCTGCCTCTGCCACTGGAGGCTGAGACTAAAGGCGTGCCACCGCCACTCCAGGCTTCAGTAGAGTTTTAAGGTTGAAAGACTAACTAGGTCGAAGAGACAAACCACTGTTGTGTAAGACCAAAGAGTCCTCTTCCAAGGAGCAGACTTGTCCCCTGCTCATCCCTATGCACATAGGATGGCCCTAGATGTGTCACCCAGCTGAGCTGGGACATCTTCAGACGTTATTCCTTCCACCTACAAGCCCTGGTAAACAGCTAAATTCCCACACGTTTATGGACAAGGAATAGAAAAAAGCTCTCCCCAAGCCGGGACCCCGTTAGGAAGAGGGGGGAAACTACGTGGAATCAACACTCGGGGATGGCTGCCCGCTGGAGAGGTGGACGCCAGAGGACCCGACACTGGTCCCATGTCCACCTCCTCCCTGCTTCCCTAGGACTGCACCCCTCACCGGCAGCTAAATTCCCACACGTTTATGGACAAGGAATAGAAAAAAGCTCTCCCCAAGCCGGGACCCCGTTAGGAAGAGGGGGGAAACTACGTGGAATCAACACTCGGGGATGGCTGCCCGCTGGAGAGGTGGACGCCAGAGGACCCGACACTGGTCCCATGTCCACCTCCTCCCTGCTTCCCTAGGACTGCACCCCTCACCGGCCCGAGGCCTCCTGTTCCCAGCACCCCGCAGGCCCCAGCACCCCCAGGCCC